GGGAGCAGGGGCGGGCTGGGGGGTCTCTGTCCTCCCCGCTGAATTCCCTGAATAGCGTCCGACAGTAGGAAACCCTTAAGTAGTAAACTTACCGCCTAGGACCACGGCGTGGCTTTCCTAAAGCGGTAGTGTTTGCAATACGCGGCTTAGGTGGTCAGAGGTTGGTGGTTGTTTTAGGGTTCCCTCCCCTCCCTCCCCCTTTCTTTTTAATTCTGCTGCTTTAAAACGGAGCTGTGGTACGTGCTGTTGCTTTAGGAAAACTTTGTGCGGATGTTATGCTAGGTCTCCCAAAGGAAATGTAAATACACTTGTTTCATGTTGCTTCTAAAAGGATATTGCTTAAGGTGAAGGAACAGTGGGTTTGTTCCTTCTGTTTTTTTAGAGTTACATATTTATGTAAATGTTTCGAGCTAACATTTGCATAATGTAAGGTGGAGGAGGGCTCAGATCAAAATTAAAACCACAGAAACTCTTCCTAAAATGAACCCAACATAAGGAACATCAGCAGCTTGGGAATTAGTGAATGTATATTGTAGCACCCACTGGGTTTTTTTATGTCTCAATGCAAATTTATAGTATGGTTATCCTGTGGCTTAGTATGTTAGAGATGCTTTTTAATAAAGTTCATTAAACGGTCTCCCAAAATTCTTTAATCTTCAAAGCAGAGAATATGTAGTCTGATGAACTATTAATGTAGTTGTTACTTTGACTCTTCCAGAACCTAAAAACCATAAATAATTCTTAATTTGTCACGTCTCTTCCTCCACCCAGATACTTTCTCCCATCCTTAATGTACTTTTTTGCCTTGTAGCCATCTCAAAAATGACTGACAAAATCAAAAATTGAACACAAATATTTAAATCTGTTTTGGTTTTAAAGGTCAGCTTCTGGTAATTAATACATTGAGGGGAAAAATAAAACATGATTGTAAAAGTGTTCCTCTTCACTCTTTTTATTTTCCTGTATTGCATCTCTTTCCTGGATTCTTCTCCTCCCCCAATTAGATAAAACGGGGAGTGGAAAACTGTTTTCTAAGTTTAGGAATTGATCCTTAAACAGTTAAAAACAGCAGGAGGTTTCTTTCACTGAGTTCAGTTGGTGCTAGTTTAGGGCTGTTTATAGTCTTTAGTTATGTATTTGGGTTGTCTTGATATCGGGAGAATTAAAACACATGCCTGAAAATATTGCTTACATGGTTTGCTGTAGTAGTGTATGTGGAATGGTGGTGGGTTTTTTTCCGTTCTCTAGCCTGTAGGTAGCTAAGTGAATTCTTTTTTTTTTTTTTTTGTTTTTTTTGGTTTTTTTTGTTTTTTACTTTTGACACTAGCAGAATGGGCCAGAAACTATAAAAAAAAATACTTTCTCTGTGGCGGGCGTAATGTGTTGAAAACGTGCGTACTGATTCTTGCAGCTCCACGTGTGCCGTGTCTGCTCTGTGCGTTTATGGTCTGTGTAACCAAGGCACATTAAGTGTGTTGGCGTTCTCGGCTGCTTTAGGATGGAAGCTGGCAACAGCCTTTCCTTAGGACCTGGGCAGCCGTCTGTAAGGTGCTGCCTCCCCTTCTCCCCCCAGCTCCAGTTTGGTTTTAAGGGGAGATAAGAGCTGGCACAGCTGCTGTGCAATTTTCAGCACCCTGTAGGGTACGGTGCTGTGCTAACCATTGCTGAGAGCCTGCCTAAGTATTTGGTCCTACACAATGATTGCGGAATGTATCCTTGTTGGGGTTGCAGTGTGGTTACTTTGGTTGCTGCTGGTAATTACATGGTGCTGTAGTTGACATTTATATACTGTGGAAGCTAAAAAGCAAACTTCACTAGTCAGGCGAGATGTGCGCTTAGAAGCGTACAGATGAGCAGCTTGGTGTATGCTGTAATGTTCAAACCCCCATATTGCTTAGAACTGAACAGTAAACTCTGCACAAGTTAAATGCGATGAAATGCTTTTCTAACTGACGTCATACTGACAGTGCTAGGCACGGATTGGGAATAGGGTCCTCATGCCTCCCCTGTGATCTAGTGTTAGGTACAGCTTGGACCATTCTTTAGCTTCTAGGTGTAATTTATGTTTGAATCCATTTTGTACTATACCTGCTTGTTATGGGCCCACACCACTGATACTCTGAATTTTATTTTCCCTGTCTTGTGTTATTCTTCACATTTGTACAGTCCAGAAAGAGCTTTTTCTCCTTCTGTGTGAGGAAGAAACTTCAAGACCTCCCTCAGTGAGCTGGAAACCCCATCTTTTACCTTCCCTCTTCATTCTCCAGTTGTGAACTAGAAAACCGTATCAGCCTGTTGTGAGGTACAATATCTACCATTTTACTGTTATTTCCTCCTTGCTGTAAACCCAGCTGTTTTATTTGTGATCAGCAAAGTAGGGGGAAGTTGTAGGTGTTGCAAGTGCCTTGTATGTGTTTTGCATTTTGAAATACGAGATTCTTAAAAACTAAAATAGTAAGCTAGCATTAGTTTCTTCAGTACGTCACGGCTATGATCTGCATCATAGTCAAGAAGTAAGTTACTTGTAAAATTTTGTGGTGCTATGTACGTGCATAGTCATAGGGTGCCTCTGTCTAGTAAAGCAAGTGCTGGATGACGGCCATTTCATAAACTCTGCTCATTTTTATTGCTAGCTCTTTTAGCTCAAGATTCATGTCTTGTGTGACCGCATGCCACCCAGCGAGCCCCCTGTGTTTGGTTCCCTTTGTTTTTTATGTGATCATTGCTGCTGCAGTATTTCAAATTTTATGGATAGCGATACACCTTTTAAGAATGTCTCTTTGAGGCCAGGAAACACCCGTGTTATATACCCTGGAGCTGAGACACAGAGGCTAAAAGATTCATCCAATGCTGTGTAAGAAATGCATGTCTGCAGGTCATGGCCCTGTGTTAATAAGATGAATTTTATCCTCTCTTAGTGGAGACCAATGCACTGTGAATCACAAAACTCATCCTGTGAAAAAAGTACGAGGGATCTGGAATCGGGTTCTGCTTGGCTCATTTTGTCTCTGTACAAACTTACTGAGTTGACAGTTGTCTGGCATGTGAAGATACAAATTGGAAGGCCTATCTTGGTGTCCTTTATTGCCTGACGGTAATGCAATGTTTGTATGAGACCATGCCTGGGTTTTACAGTGCAGCAGTTAGCACTGCATGTGGGAAGGTGTGCGTGTGCAGTGGTATGTAGATGGCTTGTCTGGCAGTTGTTGATGACAATAGGACAGTGACAGGGTTTTCTTTAACCCCTAGAGAAGAACCAAACACAACCTCTGGATAAGAACCAAAACCATCTCAGGTAAGAACACTGAACTTTATTTTCAGTAGTGCTATCCGAGTTGAGTTTTGTGGGACGCTTTAAAGTTGCTTCAGTGTCAAGTTTGACATTCAGAGCTCCAGTAAGGCATGTCAGATGTGTCACGGACCTTTGCCTTCAGTGTGCGCTTCTCTTGTTCTACTGTCTTACAGATGTGAGAGGGCTTGTGTACTGATTTGTTTGAATATAGAAACATTTTTGTGTGCATAATTCTAAAAAGAATATTGCCTAAGCAATAAATAATCCCGTTCAGCCTTTTTTCTCTAATGTGTCTGCTGACCATATTAGGAGAGGTTTATCTGAGGATGGAGGGGTGAAAATTTACCTTCTTGGCTGCTGGAGAGGTTGCCATGCGGTGTAGTCTTTTGGCTTATGAGTCACCATAAAGAGTGCTGCACCTTTACCCTCTTTGTAGTGCAAAGCATAATTGACAGATCCACACCTGCAGCCGCTGATTAGCATCTCCTCCATTTGGATTGGTGGTATGTTCTATGTGTGTCTGTTCAGAGAGCAGAGGGGGTGGTCCTGATCTGCGTGATGTGGAGATTGCTTCTTACCCAGCCCACCCAGGTCCAGGTCACCAGGCTGCAGAAAGATAAAGTGGTATTTCTGTGGCCATGAGTGGTCTTGTATAACACCCCTCAGAGCTCTGGATGAGTAGTCTGGAAAGAAAAAGGCATGTGTGGCTTACCTTGCATGGAAGAGTTGTCCTTAAGGCAAACTTGAGTACCCAGGTTCTGCCAAAACTGGTGTCTTTGGCTTGATTTTGAGTGATGTGGAAGTCAGTATGGATAATCGTGTACGGTATATTGCAGTGAATGAAGGCAGGCACACACAGAAGCTTTTGAGGGACCGGTACTTTAGTCCTTTATTCTCCACGCAACCTTGCTCACACTTTAAGGAAAAGGAACTTTTGCATTCAGAATGCTAGTGGAAGGAGGGAAGAGAGATGTCCCACCAAGTTCAGTCACTTTGTTCAACACAGAAACAAAGGAAGTATTATGAAGTTTTTTGGCTAGGAAACAGAAAACCTTTTCATGGGAGTTCACAGCTTCTGGTTTTGTTTTTAATACAAACATGGTGATGTAACAAGTCATCTCATTAAATAGTGATACTTGTACATTTCATGTTATCAGGTTTTGTTTACACTGCAAACCTTTTCCCAGCTATTCATGGATCAGTATAGCAGGACACTAAAGTATTGCAAGTGAAGAGAACATTATTATGTTTTTCTGAGTGACAAGGGAAATCTAAATTGGAACCTTACTTTGCTTCAAGGCTTTGCCAATCTTTACACTAGAAATAGTTTGAAACTACTGGGAATGTGGATGAGTAAGGATCATAGTCTTTCATGATCACTTTTTCTCTGGTTGTTAGACTTCTGCTGAAGTGTGTGGTGATGATCCTGTACAGGGATACGGTGCTGCTGAGACTACTTTAATCTTCAGTCATGTCAATGTGGTGACTGTTAGCATAAGCAGAAAGCAGAAATGACGTTGTCAAAGACGCAGTTTGACATCTGATTTCTAGCAGAAAAACACACATAGAATATTATTGCTTGGTGTGTGAATAATGGAGTTAAAGTATGAGATGTTAAAAGCACCTAAAATTAAAGCACAAATACCTGTTTAATTTTAAGATACCTTTTAAAATTCTGTTGTAACTAGATGAAACAATGAATTTAGGAAAAGTTTTAGTGACACTGATTCTGAGAAGGAAGAGTTTCAGACCTTCAGTAAAACAATCAATAGTAATTTAGAAGGGCCTCTTAAATGGCAATGAGAGTGGTAAATTGCTTTTGTTCCATTTATGTAGGAATACCTGCTAAAATGATTACTGTTAAATTAAGATTTCTGTTGTTTGTTTTTTTTTTTTAAATACAGTTTTTCAGAGCCAGGACTGAAGTAGCTTATAACTACAAATATTTAGCTTAAGATGGTTCATGTACTGCTTCACATCAGAAATGAATTCTTGAGGATGTTTTATTCAAAGTCTTACGCTTCAGCATTTGAAAAAAGAAACTCTAACAGTAGGAGGAGCGTCCTACTTGTTAGCCGTCAAAACTTTAATTAAAGTCTTGAAGTGTTGTAAACTGTCATCTTGTTCAGTCCCAAGCTCTCTGTCTGGAGTTATGCAGAATATGGGCAACTAATTTTGACCTGTCTGTGGAGAAATATTTTAATTCTCTGTATATGTTAAACAGCAGATTCAGTGTACTGTGGTGTTCTCATGCAAAATAGCCAAGAAACATGCCAGTGACTAGCTCCACTGGATATTTTGTAAGGCTGTTTCATGCCTTTGTTTAGGGCTTACAATGTTGCTTCTCTTTCTTCAGGTTACTATGGTACTAGAGAACATACCAGTTTTTGTTGTGTGTTGGTGTATACCTTAGGTGTGACTTTTGTCATGTGATTTGCATACACTTATATTGGAGTCTGAAATGTTAATGCAGCCAGACAGACCCCACCTAGGACTGTCTATGTTATTTGACTAGCTGTTTGTAGCAGAGTAGCAGAACTGGAGGTTTTGAGCAGCGAATGGGTACTCTGAGTCACCTACAGCCTATATACAGCCTGCAATGAAGGCAGCGTTTCCCTCATTTATGTCTCCTTACATTAGCAGACTAGGTTATTATTATGTGAGCACAGGCCTTCCTGTTGTGCTGTAATTAGCTGAGAGTGAGGATACAAAGCTTCAGGATGAAAGAAGAAATGCATTTGGAACCACTGTTCAGAGTTACTGGTTCTCAAATTGAGATTATTGTCTTCTGTTAGCAGCTGAACTGATCAATTAACTTCCTCCTTCTAATAACAATCCAGTAAGTCATTAAACTAATTATTCCATTGCTAATTAGTACTCTTTCTTTTTTCCTTTTCTGTGTAGGCTTGGTTGTAAAGGGAGGTCTGTAACATGCACTTGTCTCTCTTAATTTTGAAAGACACTGTGCTTGCTGTGGGAAGGCTGTGTTGTAAGATGAATGTACCTTGCAACACCAAGGAAGGAAATTGTTATCTCTGTGTTTCAGCAATGTATATGAACAGTATTTTCGTACTATATGAATAGCTAGAAATGTTGTTTGGAAAGGAAAAAAGAGCCATGATCTGCTTTGTTTTGGGGTGGGGGGTGGGCTCCAGTTTCTAGATGTAGCTGGATTTCTTCGGGATCTAAACTCCATTGTACTAAAGCCCAGACAGAGCATGTGTTGCATGTTACTGACCTCTGAGTTTATTTTGACAAGTATTTTCAACGTTGGAACCTACACAGCTTCTTTGCTGCTTCATGTGCTTTATGTCACAGAGGTGACAGGAACTCTACAGGGTGGAAAATGCATCTGAAGATTGATGTGTCACACTGACTGTCAGAGAGGAGTACCCTCTTCACCTTAGTTTCTCCAGAGGAAAAGTTGTGTAAGGATCCCTACAGTAGTTGTGTAGTGCAGAACTCGTCTTTGAACCTGCTCAAGAAAGATCACTGTAGTTAAGGTGCATTTGTGATCAACAGTGTGACTTTGGTGCAGCCCCGAAGAAGTTGTGCATCATAGGAGTATCCTTGCTCATATTTCTGGTGCCTGAATTTATTGACCTGTGATGTAAGAATGATAATTTTTTTAACAGCTGTTTGACCTTATGCGGAGGTCAATCATTAACTACTAAACAGCGATGAACATCTGCGTGATTACAAAGTGCAGTTAGCTTTAGCACTTGCCTTGACTCTTCCCAGTTTGTGCATACACATCACTGAGACTACCTGTCATTCAGAATTGCCCTTTGCATCTCACCACTTGAATTGCAGTTCCAAGTTTGGTATGAAGTGACGATCTGCAACGACAGAATGTTGAAACCTAACCAAGACCCTTTCGTACTGTCCCACTGTTTGTATTCCCTTTGTTAGTTTGCTGCACAGGCTTCTTATCCACGGCCTCTCCCTGTGACACATGTAGGAGCTGAAGTGGTAAGATCTGAGTCTAGGTATTCTTTGGGTGAGCAAGA